CGCTTATGCTAATAGTAACATCTTTAAACTTGTAAGGAACTATTTATGTGTATAACGAATAAAATAATTAATTATTTATTTAAAAAAATCTTAGAATTTAATAAAATTGAAAAAATGAAATATAATAAAATTGTATCCTGACAAAGTTTGTACAGAAGAAATATTTAAGAAAATTTGGCATGAGGGATTTTTAATAATAACAATATAACCCGAAATAATATACTTAAAAAAAAATATCTGTTTATCTGTTTGTCTAACTTGATACACTAATTAGAAGAGTTTGCCTGTGTCCAAAACCCACGCGTACGACGATGCGGGTAAACGCTAGCATTAATATAACATATTAATAATAGGTACTTAATACTAACAATTATTAATAAGATTAAGTGAAGGGATATTTTAATGATCCCTGAAAATATTGTAAAATGAAAGTACATGATTGTAAACGCGAGCACTAAATGAGATCTGAGGCTCAGTTTAGGTGTAAAGGTCAATGACCGATAAGGTTCGCGCTGTGCTGGGCGACTTGTATTCTCCCCGCGCCTCAAAATCGGCAGGCCGCCAATAAACTGAACAGTCACTGAAATCTGCCCAATGTGAATTTGCCTCATTAGCATAGAGATTGGTTACTGATACCTCGTCTGAAACACTCAAACATTGCAGTTGCAACTTTTTAATTAATTGTTTTATTTTTAATATATATGCATTTTTTAGTAAATGCTACTTTATGTTAATTTTGTTTCAATTACCTAATAGTGACTGACATATCCTGAATGATAAACAAACTGAAGTTGCAATGAGCTGGTCACAGCTTGAAGAACCGAAAACTGATAGGGAAGAACGATTCTAAGTGGCGACCCCATACGCAAACGCAGTGTACGACGACCCCCCACTCGATGAAGAAACGACTTTTAATACACACATTCGGAATTATTCCTTTTGAAAGTTTTTTTTTTATACAACTTAGAATGGCAAACAAGATGACGGTCCATCTGATGGAAAGTGGTAACTGTCATCTATAGATATGAGCGGTACCATGGACATAACAGAGTGTACTGTTTCGCCCATGATACCTCCCATGCGTTGCCATTCCTGAGGACCCAGGTGTTATTCCTCCTCTGGACCCTGTAAATTCACTGCCATATCATACCCTTCAAACCGAAACACAGCCATGCAAAACTGCTTTACGGTAGAAACACGAATGGGACGCAGGTGTCTAAGCAAACGACTTTTTTAATAAATGTAAGGGGCAAATGTAGTTAAAACAAATGCGATATAATATAAAATGCCTATCATAGAAATAAAGTTTTATCATTATATTTACTTAGTAGATATAAGACAACAAAGACAGATGGTATTCAGATACAGCCAGGAATTCAGGGCAGTAGAACCTTCTAATATATGTCGCCGCAAAGATTAAATATATGAGATGAAAACTATTCTGTCGCTATCGGTCTGTTCATGTGTGATTACCTATTATCATTGTTTGTTGATGGTAGAAAAATCCTACTAATAAATGTGAAAGTTTACAAAGATGTTTGGGCTGGTTACATGTTGGAATTTTTGTTGCTTAATCACTCTTAAACGGCTGGACGGATTTGCATGAAATCTAGTACACGAATAGTCCATGACCTAGATTAACTCATAGAATACTTTTTATCCTTATTCATTTGAGTAAAGCCGTGGGATACAGTTAATATTATGAATGTAAAGGTTTGTAAAGATGTTTGGATGTTGGTTATTCTATTAAATGGCTATATAGATTTAAATAAAATTTGGTACATAGATAGGATGGTATATCCTCCTATCTATGTATATATATTATATCCTATATATATCCAAAGAGGATATATATATATATATATATATATATATATATATATATATATATATATATATATATATATATATATATATATATATATATATATATATATATATATATATCCTCTTTGTAGATATGGATAATTTTTATTCTAATTAATCTGGGCGAATTCTAGTGTTTCGGTCAGTACGTTAAGCATTAATACAACAAATATTAGCTGACTCAGAAAAGATGGTTTGCCACCTATCTGTTCCATTTTCTATGATCGGGATAAAAATTCACATTCAGAAAATTTCATTAAAATTGATTGAGCAATTTAGAAGAATAGCGTGAACGAACATAGTGGCATGGGATTTTTATATATTAAGACCAAATAAATGATTTATAACTCCCGTCACTCTTGAAGAGTTGAACGATTGTCAGCAATGAACATTAGCGACCCTATTGACAGGAAAGAATACAAGGTACAAACTCATCGAAGATGAAAAAGAATAGTTAGATCAACCTCCACGTGGTCGTTCCTAGAAACCGTCATGATTAATTTCTAATAAATTCGCCGCGACAGGTTAAATAACCAGATTTCTTCCTCAATTATCATCCTTCATTGTCATTCTTCGAGTGTAAATCAATATAGTAATTAATCTTATAATATACTTATCATGGTAATTATCATCCCATAATTTTATTTATCCCACTAATATCGTAAAAGTGAAAGTTTTTAAGGAATTGAATGTTTGATTCAATTGAACCGATTTGAATGAAATTTAGTACATAAATAGACCATATCCCAAGTTAATAAATGGTAATTTTTATTTTGATTCACGTGAGCAAAACCTTATAAAATTTATTTGGATATTTGCCACATATATTTGTTTTCAGCACACACACGTTTGATTAACGCTACGATAATTTTTATCTGTAGAGTAATAGATAGCTGATTGTGCAGAATATAGGCTTATGGACCACCCAGGTACTGTAGCTTTCTACTGTGCTTTTGTGTATAAATAATTAGCTTCAATTTATAATCGTAGTTTACGAGTATATTTAGTAGTTGTTCCTATATGTGTTGTTAAGAAGCGAATATTACGGGACACTGAATCACCTTAATTGATGTCTTAATGGAATAAAATAATTAATATATATTTTCACACACACACACATATATATATATATATATATATATATATATATATATATATATATATATATATTAATGGAATAAAATAATTAAATAAATATTATATTTTCTTTAAGCAATTCTGAATATAAATAGACAGCTGATTATAATTTAGTTGATTGTTTTTGATTTAACTATTGTTGTTTTATTATAGGTTGTATATCTTGTGATAAGATGGTAAAAGAGTTGCTGGAAGGAGGCGGCACTTTTGGCTGAAGACTGCGGGAGTTGGTTAGCTGTAGCACAAGCTCGCTCTTATAAGCGATAGCTTCAAACATTAGAATTGTCCTCATGTTGTCCAACCTCCGATAGGAGTGGAACTCGAAGAAGGAGAACATCTTGAGAGCCTTAATTTATACACCGAAAGGGTGTGAGGAAAATAATTAAATAAATAATACTGGATAGGACATATAATGCAGTCTAATTCCAAAAGAAGCAGAGCTTGTTGGATTGTTATTGCAGAGTACTGACTGGCATAATATTATCTCTTTATTGTAATATTTTTTAAAATGTATATATTTAATATAAACAGATATATCGATGAATGCAAATATTTGTATTGTGCGGGGTCGAAACCACAATTACAGGAATGTGAGGCAATGTGCTAAATCGCTGTATTACCAAAATCAATTATTAGTGGGCCCGTGTGGATATTTAATACAAAACAAGTTTTGTGATTGACTATATATAAATTATAATAATAAATTATATAAATTTCTACCTCAGATTGAAAATTTAAAAATAACTGAAATTTATTTTTGAAAATATAATAAAAATTAATAATAAGATTGATAATATATCCGAGATATTTTTTTTATACCACGAAGATGGCAAACAAGCATACAGCTCGTCTGATGGTAAACGGTCACTGTCTATTGAAGCCTGCAACGCTAGGGATGTCACGTGCGCATTGCCGACCCAAAAGAAATCTCAATACACCCTTTTTGAAGAACCCCATACTTTATCTAAGAGTTTTTTAAAATATTTTTTATTTAAGATTAGTTATTAGTTTCAACATTCGAGCCGTGCTTTTGTACTATGTAAAGTGAATCATAAGTGATCAATAAAGTTATTATAAGAAGGTTTGTAAACAAAACGAGGCAATTACAAACCCATAAATACTATGATTTAAATTTCCACTATGCGAATGTTTGATTTTTAGCTGGATCTAATTTTTACGCTACAAAATTAGGACTTTCATTAAGTCTGGTTTGCGATGGTAGAAGTGGTGCTACCACAACATCGTAGAGGGGCAGTGGAAGATTGTTTTGGCTGTGGTTTGGGAGGGCGTAGGGTGCGCGGGGGGGAAGGGCACTATCAGCGCGGGCGTAAGATGCACCTTATCGCGCCATTGTTCGCGCCGACAGATTTATAACTTCCCTTTGCCCTCAATAAGGGCCCGTGACCTGAGTACACCTTCCACTTCATAACGACGCAAATAATCATACTTTAAATATTTACTATTTAGAATAAATAACTCCTGTGTTATCTACCTATGGCTCACAATATTTAGTTAAGACTTGAACTAATCGGTTTTAAGAAGTTTTTGTATTTTTATTAGAAAAGAAATTATTTTACAGTGTCCCTTACTAGTACATTAGCATGAATTTAATATTATGTACTAACTTTACATGCGACTTGGTTCGCATGTTTACTGGCCGAGATAAAAAGTAGCCTATATTCTTCTTCATCCCACATAGTACGTGTATACCAAATTTTAAAGTGATTGGTTAAGCACTATACCGTTTAGGCGCTATAAGGTAACAAACAAACGAACTCACTTTCACATTTATAATATTAGAAAAGATTATGTTCACAGAAACAATAGATTATATTTTAAAACAAGAAACCGTCTTCAAATCAAAATTTAAGAAAATAGCGCGTAACTTAAACCTCATTCTTACTGAAAACAATTGAAGATGCAATATTATGAACAGGAATGAAAAGAAAAATAAAAAAATATACTATGCTATATAAATATGGTAGGTAGGTACATACCGGTAGACGTGAAACATTTTGTGATTAAGAAGATCCGAAGATTTGGCAATCTGTCCACTGCATCCTGTCGCTGCAGCACTGAAGCGATGCTAGTATCCCCATCTCCCTGAAAATGCAAGAGAAATGATCCTTAAACACGACATTGTTATTATACTAGAATACTTATACTTATAAAAAAATTCATCATTTTCAATATTGACAAAATTTATATGCGACCAACACGGGAGCAAACCTCCATCAAATGTAAAAGGAATTATCAGATATCGCACATAAACATGCAGACAGATTCGAAAGGGCATTGATGAAATTGCTTAAAAAGAATGAAATATTAATAACAATAGTTGCCTGTAAGCTTTTATTGATAACTAACCATTGATCATTTTCCCAGTAGGTAGGTATACCTTGTACCACTTATACAATTCGTGAGAAATAATATTCTGTGTCTTACCCATTATGTTAATGAAACTCGCGTGATTCCTTGAGTGAGAAAGTATTTATTGACTTATTTATTAATATTGTACGTTTGTTTATTAATACTGTATGTTTATTTATTAATATTGTATATTTATTTATTATGAAAGCCTACTGCCATTGGCGCTAGTAAATTTACTTTTATAGCAGTCATTGTCTATTTAGTAACAATTTTCTTATTTACTTGAATTTTTAACAGGTGTTAAATTTAATTTTGATATTATAATTTGGCATCGTTAAAATTATTTAAAATTAACCAACCTTTAAATTAAAATAATATTTTTACACGAACAAATTCAATTATTTTATAATTCTGTAAATTACTCTTTATGGAGTATATTTTCTTATTTATTATATTATAAGTAGTTTCATAACAGTGTAATAATTTATATTTATTGATAATAAAAAGTTTAAATGTATTTTTTATATGAGACACTACAAATAACATGTAAGATATTTTATTAAAATGAAGTCACTCAATTATTCCAGCAGAATAATTGAAAGACAAATTATTTATTACACTTCTCATAATACTTTTAGTCATAATAGGTAATTTTGCGAATTAATACAGTCTCCTACATAAGTAACGAACATTAGCAAATAAAAACATTTAGATTTTTTATTATTAATTATAAACAGTTATATTTTATTTGCAAAGTTAGTAATATATTGTTAGCATAACTGCACCATACTGTATTTCGCAAGTACTTTAGAAGCTTCACAATTGAATATTGTATAGCTTGCGCAACCCATCTTGATCCTTGATATTATTTATTTTAAAATAATAACTTATTTTTTAAGTTACTTTTTAGGCAATGTTTACTTTCTTTACAAAGTAATTTATAACATTCCTATAACAGCAAATATATCATGCAAATATTAGAGATTTTGCTAATACGATTTTCTTGGTTAAGTATCTGTCAAAAAAGGAAAGGATAAATTAAAACACTAAGTATGATGACAGACATCTATGTTAAAATGATATGTAAATTTGCTTGTGTTATTTTGATCCCGTAACGGTACAAGTAATGCATTCCCAGGCTCTGTTGTATCGTTGATAAAATTCTGAGATAAGTCCGACTCCTATATGAAACTCAATAAGCCATTTCTTTGAAATTCTCGCAAGAGAACCGCTCCCGTGAAAAGAATTACCAAAAACCAAACAAAAAAGGGCCATGAATAAGGCGGGAGCGCGAAATAAGAATGGCTTCAATTCTGGGAAGGTTCGGCGCCGGCACAGTCTGTACATCTTTTGTAATGATCAGTTTTTGTATAGCGGCCCCTAATAGGTATATCGCGGGGTTGAAAAACGATGGCATAATATAATGTGCAAAGAGTAGATAGTAATTGCATCTTATCTTCCATCGTATTGCCCCTGTATATTAAGTTATAATGAAAATTAAATATCACTAAGATTTGTATATACTTAATACGCCGAATTTAATATATTATTTATAATTTTAAAATGGACATCTCACAAACTTTATAATTCTGAACATGTACAATTTAAAACCTCCGTTTTGTGATGGAGTTATAGGCAGTGTAGTATTTAATGCGTGGAAGATATATCCCTTGGTGGGAGTAAGCATGATTAAGGAAATGCTTATGAAATATGCGCCCACGCTGGTTATGTTGCGCCGGAAACGGAGGCAAACCACGCACTCCACATTGCTTACAGTTTGGCGGTTTGTAGGCGTTACGATCAAAATGTGTCACCGGCATGTTCAGTTTTAGAACCGATAAATTGAATATAGTGTGCCGTACGAAATGGTGATAAAGTTATGATAAAATAAGAGCAAAGGTTAAAGTACCGAAGGGCACGCAGTGAGTGATGCGTGTGGTCAGTAGCTACGTCACTAGATGATGTGACTCAGACGTGGACGAGAAGACACGTGTTGCTGACGTAGCAAACACCTGACTCATCATCATACGCTCAATAATAATCCGAGAATATCAATATTAACGTACGTTCCCTACTATTATTATTTTTTAATAATGTAGGCATGATCTTATTGTATTACTATATTTTCTATGAGTTTGGTCCCTATTTCAGTTTTTATTATGACTAATTAGAAAATCTACGCAAAATAATAAATTTAAATTGGTTTAATATAAAAATATGTCGAGTACATAAAAATATTTTGAAAATATTATAATTTATTTATTTTTTAATGAACGCAAAATTATTTGATATTCCAATAAGATTTATATTAGAAATTTTATTATAAATTTAATGCTTATCTAATAAAATTTCTATTATATAATTTTTAAAGCAATAGTTGCGGAGATTAATGATTAATCAAGATAAGAAATACTGTGTGAATAAGATGTCATATTTACAAAACGTTTTTACCTATATATGCGTCCACTCTTCACGAGATCGCGAATTCAATTGCACATTATTATTATTTATGTGTAATATTATTTTAATATTCAATTAAATATTTTACTTACTATTAAACACGATTAAAGTAACTAGAATATAAATAATTAAAATTATACCTGAACTGTAAAGCAGTAATAATTCAATTTTATTTTTATTAAATTTACATTATTCAGTTTAAAAAAATAAGTTACGTATGTAATATTTTTTTTAATTAATGTATATCAAAATATTATTTAGAAAAGTTTCATTCTTAATTAAAACTCTTGCGAGCTTTTTAACTGAAAGTAAAAAATATATTTCTAATCTTACGCCAGTGTGGTAAATACTCCAGATTGTAAATTTCACCAATAAATTCACAATGCACAAAATTTTCACTTAACAATTAAGTATATATTAACGGTTAAACGGACACTTATGTTTCAATCACATTGCACGAAGTCCGGTCTCAACTAGCAGGCGTTCACTAAATAACATGATAATACAAAAAGAAGTCAGAGGTTAAGATGTTATCGAGGGAGACATGAATATTCGAAGACGCAAGGGTCACGAGTGAACGGTCGAAGCATCGTGCCGCGGCGTGAATGGAACGACCGACATTTTATGAATCGAGAGCCGTCGCTCATTGACCTGAGTGCGAGTGGAGTGCCGTCGGTCTGCACTTGCAGCACCATCGCTGTAGGGTCCACAGCTCGGGTCCGCACAGCTCTAAGCGGTTCCGGCCCCGGCGGAAGTGACGTTCCAACCGAACATGGCGGCGCGCGCGCAGGAAGTGCGCAGCTTACCTATCGGGACTTCGGCAACGACGGCCTGCGCCCGATCATCGTTGCTGCGTTGCCGCATCGTGCACCGCACGCGAACCCGCATACGCCGATACCGATATCCGCAAAATTGCGCACGATCACTACGTTACGAATAAATTATTCGTGCTGTTATCTAAAAATATTCGTGTGCGCAAGGCGCTCGAAGCGCGCAGCCAGAGATGACACGGAGTTACAGTGCACACGCGAACCACTGCCCCGCCGCGGGGAGACTGATGAGGGCAGGCCGCGCCGGCGACGGCGGAGGCTCCGACGCACGCGGACACTAGTTCTGTCCCTTTCAACGGAACGCAACTGTAGCAGAGCGAGCAGGATCTCACATATATCACCAATGCAGATTCGAGAACCAATAAAACCGGCGAGAAGAAAAATATTCGACCTTCACGTTTATATGTGTGTGTGCTTTAATAGCGACGTGAGGCACACTAATACACAGCTCGCGAATTGCCAACGCCGCCGGATCGTTGCCGGCGGTGTACTAGTTATGACAATTTTTCCAGAAAACTGACATGCAGAGTTGTTAGAGGTGCGCAAGTTTACCACGGCCACGTGGTAAACTTGCGCGGTAACAGGGTAACAGTATCGGGTAACAGCCATGTTACCCGATAATCTTTGCAATTTGCAAACGAACTACTTTATGTTATAGTTACAACATTACAGTATTTTAATTTAATTTACAGGAAATAGAACAGTTTGATAAATACCGAAACTATACTTAAAAGCCCATTTTTTTTAAATTGTCTATTTATTACTTACAATTTTTAAAACTACCTTTAATGTTGGGCCCATTTTAATACATTTTCAATTTACATACTGAGCAATTTACTAATATGATAGACTTTTTAATTAGAAAGTCTATTAGCATAAAATAATATGGAATATTTTATTAGTACTATAAATTAATAAATGTTACACCTAATGTCTGTATAGATAATAAACAAATATTTTAATTTTTATCATAACAAACTCATTGAAAACATCTGTACCTGTATTACTATTTACTTATAGATGTTCTATTTTTTCCTGTTTATCTACCTACCTACATAAATTATAAAGTACTCCAAAATATTATTAAATGAAAATTAAGAAAATTTTGTATAGGTTAAAAAGGTTTTTTTTATTTAAGGGAAAATATATAAAAAAATATTCACTAAATAATATTATTAAAATGAAATGAAGTTTTTATCAATTGTATAACTATCTATAATTATTATTTTCAAAATATTAAAATAATTTTCTATTAAATAATTTGCTAATATTTTTTTTATAAACAATATAACAATTTTTTACCTTAATGATAATAATACCTTATTAATATAATATTTATCATGTCTATTAAGACATTATGTCTACAAAAATGTCAATAATTTTTCCAATTGATAAAATAATGGATTTTTTGATAAATAAGAATTTGAATTAAAATACAAACAA